TACTTCTTATACCTAAGTATCATTGTTAGTGAAAGGGCAATGAGTTTAGGATAGTCTTTTTCCTTTTGATAATAATTATCATTCTCAAACCTGTTAATAGCTATCATTCTAGCCCTCACAATATTATATGGACGCGGATGTGACATCATCACAACATCAATATTGTCAAAAGCATGCTTGTTTATTAAGATGACTTTTCCTCCTCCTCCTTCTTCTGCCGGGGTTCCGAGAACTGTCAGCTACAGAGAAAAAAATTCTTAAAAGAAGAATATTTCATAATAAAGAAGTTCTGAATTTCCCTTCCCTTAAATATCATTTAAGATTTTGCTATGCCTTGAATTAATAAAAACCTATGTCATCAAACGCTTCGTCCTTTAATGATAAGAGTAAACAGCGCTAAGGTGGACGGACTTAATGTCCCATTACATGGCTTCTGTACAAAAATTGTAAACTTATTTTTTCCGCATAGCTGACATGATAACAATCTAAGACGAAAACTTGCTTCTTCACAAATTTCTGCGAAAAAAGAAAGAGAGATATTAAAAGGTACAAAAAAGAATGCTATGGGTATATATCAAATATGGCTTATTTAATCTCTATTAACTCGACAATAAAGACTTTGTTAAGGAAGTACTGACAATAAACCAACAAATATATAAACAAAATTGAAGATGAATATACAAGGGAATCTTCATCAACAAATATAAGTAAATAGAAATACTGAATAGTCCATATAAATTTTCATGTTCAATACTATCTAAATCGTTTTCTTACAATATACCAATCACTTGTCTAGGAATGTTATTCTATAGATACTGGCAAAGATCAGAATATACCATTTTATCACATTTTTGCCAGTGAAATATAGAGGTGTATCTTATTGAAAAAAAAGGTTTTTATTCGTGAAAATCAACACTTTTGCAGACTTACGCCAATGAAAATAGAGAATACAAATCGTCTTCTAAAACTGACAAATCATGAAGTACTAAAACAATCACAAAACCAGAAACCTGAATGGGTTGTTATCTAGTGACACGACATGGTACACTATCACTTCAATCAAAGTCAACAAACAATGCAACACAAATTACCTTATTAAACATCAAACCCAATCTCCGTCATGTATGTGGAGCTAACAGGTTAGATATTTCAAGAGGATTCATGCCATCAACAGTGACAGCTGTAGGTTGCCGCCAGCGGCGCTGGATAATCAACATTTTCAATACGAATATGGAAATAAATTTACATTGAAATTTACTTTCGTGTTAGCATACTTTTAAAGTTGTAAATTTTTCATATTCCGTGTGTCTAATATTTTTCTGTATATTTTACTCGTGAATGATACTGAAATATTAGGCACACTTGTTAAATATATTTGTTGTTTTAAAAGACACTATTTGATATCCTCTATATCCTGGATGTTCTTCTAAACTTATCAGGCATATGACAATTTCGTAATTTACTGAATTACAGGTCTAGACCTGTGTGGTGCAGCTTAATACATTGTTTGGCTCTACTTATTCTAAAGTTGTATTAAATGTAAATGGTGCTATTCACATATGCGTCTTTAGCGCAATTTGTGTATAACCAATTCATGAAGTTCTAACGACAGATATTGCATTTTACCTCATAAAGTTGGAATTCATATTGCGGAGGTTGGTCAGTTAAAGTAGTTCATTATTTAATTAAGTATATCACTCAAACACCATCTGCTTAAGTCTTGAATCAAATGCCAACAACGGCATTGTGTACGTCATTGAATTGTGATAGCAAATGAAGAAACCATTTGTATACGTTTATATACAAAACGACAATTCATAGTCACAAGTTAGTGATGCTTTCAAGAATTTCGTCGAATATGAAGTAGGATAAAATTATAGAAAACCAAGAAATCTGTCAAAATAATTGAAAATCAATATTACAGTTCTGAGAGATGGATAATTCCTAGTTAACTATTGCACAGCACAGTTGTAAAACCGCACACAAAACCATCGATTACAAAATATGTTGCAATACAAAATTAGACACTTGTTCCTAATGGTATAGTTTATTCAATTATCGAACGCAAAGCTATTTTACATAACACTATTTCTTGTTCTCTACCTTGCCAATAGGTTTCCCGGATGCTTCCATGGCGGCCTTGATCCCGACACCGGCCGCCACACCTAGTTCAGCTATCAGGTTGTGTCCACAACCATGAACAATCTCTGGCAGTGCGTCGTACTCGCACAATATCGCCACATGCGGACCTGCTCTCTCGTCACCAAATGTAGAACGGAAGGCTGTGTCAAGTTTGTAATTCCTGTCTACATGAAAGCCTTGCTTCTCCATGAAGTTAGTCAATATGATATGAGCATGATGTTCCTTGAAGTTTAACTCTGGATTTTTCCACAGTTCCTGACTGATGTCGTTGAGGTCCGAAGTTATCTTGTCTATTGCTTCACAAGCAACCGTCTTTAACTCGGCCATGTTGTCGTGAACTAACTCTCTTCCCTCATATGTCACCAGATGTTGTCTTGTGTACATATAATTACGAGTGTGTTTATATACGAAACCCCATTAAAACTTATAATGCATATAGATAATGTATTAATGTCAATATACGATTTAATGTATATTTTAGAATTATCTGCCGAGGCAAATGTATCTGTGGTTTTCCATCCAATTTATTTGATACATCGATACAGAATTGACGCGTGTTTTTAACTTCTAGCAATAGCAACATCTCTGGTACGTTCTGTCTGTGAAACATTTCAAAGACAGAACTTATTTTCCATCGTGAAAGACGGATTCATATATAGACTACGATGTGCCGTAAACGGCAGGTGTTGTAGGTTAGTTAGTCAACTTTTGGCAAGACTTTCATCGGCAGTTTCAACAACGTAAAAAGATGTAGGAAGCATAAACGCTGTTTTACACGAGCTACATACTAACCATCAATAAACTGAGTAATACAAATGTTTCATGTGTTCTAAGATTTTATGTTGAACCGTTACAAAACTTATAATTCAAAATACTGAAACCACGTAATTCATCAACTGTGTAGCAAACATCGATGTCTTTGAAGATAATTTTCAGATTTGATAGACCACGTGACCATAAAACATGTTTGTCGTTGTAACAATGTTATTTGTATTGGAAGGCACCGAATGTGGCTTCGAATGCTGTGTCGAGTTTATACTTCATATCAACTGTAAATCCTTGATTCTCCAGGAAATCTGTCAATATGGTGTAAGCACTGTGATCGTTGAAGTTTGACTCGGGGTTCTTCCACAATTTATGACCGATGTCGTTTAGTTCGAGGCTACCTTGTCAATTGCTTCACAGGCAACCTTTTTTAACTTTGCCGTGTTGATGTGTAGGCATGTTTTAACCCACTTGTGATTATATCAGCTCAGCGGTGTATCTGCTACACACACACGAGATGAGACTAATTATGGAGTCCCAAACGGAAAATTCCCCCGATACATGTATAGGAAAACAAAAGGTATCCAATCAGGAACACTTCTTAGTTGAACTTTTAAAAAGATATTCTAATATCAGATAAACTTGTTTATAAAGAAATTAAAAACCATCATATATCTTGGGAAGACAATGCATATACGATAGAAAGACCGTTATTGTTAATTTTGTATGATATACTTTTTGGGTTATCTTTACATAATATATCAGGTCAATGTGTATAGTGGTGATGCTTGGTGTTGACAGAAAACATCAAGCAGAGCAAAGAAAATACTTATTTTGATTGATTTTGAATTTGATATTAAACATGATTTGATAATGATTTTCTTCAATACATAAAACATGAAAGTAATGGTTACAGCCATCCGTGTGCATTGTGTATATATTGCCGTGCGAAACATACCAGAAAATAATAATTGTTAACCCCAGTACATCTATTATAAAGTACTTAGCATATTATTGTGTTATTTCCTTAAAAATCAAACAAATCTCGGTTCGACGATATCCAGTAGGAAGTAGGCTTTGCACGAAGAACTAAAAAATTACATGATAATATTATGTCATTGTGTTATGCGCCAATGTATATATGTAGGACATATGTATTTTGTTTTTGTCGGCCATGTATTGTACAAATCAAGGCATTGTGTGTTGTTCGAGAGATGACAAAAAAATGATATTTATGTGGTCGATTTTAATTATTTGTTATGAACCTGCATTCTATGCTATTTTCAAAGAACCCGAGAAGTCGTATTCCTGACAGGTGTCCTGACAATAATCCAGCCTGGGTCTCTGGCATGACAATCCACAACTCTCACCTGCTGAGCCAAAGAAGAGTACTCCATCAACTGACATAGGCCGACATTAACATTATGCAGAGGCCACGTTGACCTTCTTCAATACCATTATAACATTGTTAATTTGACTTTCACTATTCTCTAGTTTACTTTCGTTTGGACACACAACTCGGGAGGTATCAAATCTGCGCTTAACACGCAAAACTGTTAATACTATTACTTAAGACAAATAACTCAATATTTTAGATAAATATGAAAAAAAGTAAAAAAATAATTTGTAATTAACAGTCGATAGAATAGCGTATATTCAATCCTAGGGGAATAAAGAAATTGTAAGATACAATCCCTTGGAGACTTCAACCCACCAATACCAATAATGTCTCAAAGAAATAAAAATATTTATGTTGAATGATATACTCATCTTAAATACAATAAACATGTGGTTTATATAATGCATTTTGTGACCCTGAGCGATTCAGTATCTCTTTCAGAACTGAAAATATGAAGTGTATTCTCTGTGAATAATTCAGATTTATTTACAAAACATATAGGATTGATATCAAAAACGTAGCATAAGATCCAATCTTTAAATACATTTCTTAAACATTTCGATTCCCTAAAATGTTTTTAAGAGATTATAATCCGTTAAATACAGAATTTTGTTCACGTTATCAAAACCTTATAACATAATCATTGATACGTGTATATCCCTTTGAAGTTCCTTTATTCCAACATTGTTTGCTTTCAATTCTTTCTCTGTGGTTCGTTGTTGAATTCAGTTTTGATTTTATGTAAAAGATCTTTGTTTATAAATATGTCAATGGCTGTCATCGCCATTGCCTTCCCTTGTAGTACAGTGTACGGCTGGGCGGTTGGGGCACCTTCAAGGTAAAAAGACAAAAGATTGAATATCAAAATTCTGAACAACGTCAGGCAATGACATCGAATCCAGAATGCATTTCATGATGCAAACGGTAAACTTGTAATAGCATATTGGCTTGAATAGAACATTATCTACAGAAAATTTATCAAAACAAAAACAGTACAGTTCTAAAACATCAATATAAGGTTTTGGAAATAACTTTTGAAAGTATTCCTGTTTTGAAAGAACAGCTGCCACTTCAACACTACAACTTCACCTGCAGCGCTGGCAAAGCCTTTGGTGTGGTTGGTATCGTCTGTTCCGATGTAAAAGCCGGGATGGATGGTGGGTACAAGATATGACACATTTCCAATATCCGAGGATGGCAGAGAAGCGTCGCCTGTTGGCGGCTCATGTGTCTTGAAATCTAGTCCCAGTGTGTTTGTCTTTATCGCAAACGATGACGCCAGGTGCTTCATTGCTGAGAAGGTCAGATACGGCACCTCAGAATATTTGTACTCAACCTGTTGGGAAAGGGTATGCTAGAAATCCACCATAACATCAATTAATTTCTTTGACGTTGAAATATTCGTTCTCTGGATTAATTAAATATATTTATTTCAGTTATTTATTCGTATCCAAAATACTTCTGGTTGTGATCACATTCAAGCATGTGTATTCATCAATAGACTCAAACTTATACATTCGACGCATGCTGTACTAGAACTGTATAAAATATGATTCATATGAATCTTTGATTTCAAATCTTTTCATGTCCACCTACTCTGACTTATGGTAACCGATGGTGGGGAAGGTTGCAACCTTACATTATTCAGGAAGGATGTTAGAGATCTTACGCAGACGTACATATGTCGCCATGACTGATTTATGAGGCGAGGTGTATATGCTATTTTGCATTCTTATATATAAATGTTTTTATATATTGTGTTACACTAGAAAAATCGTTATTCACTAATGTGAATTACATTACAGTGGTTCTTCAATATAGAAATGTTGAATATTTTATATATCATTTGTATCATTAGAAACTAAACGGTAAAATATATCTATATATGCTTATGCATTTAATGGATATGCTTAAAATCTGCGTTTTAATTTTATTTCATTTTATCATATCGTTGATATACTGAAGACTTGGACTTGTTTTAGTTGAATCCAAACTGTTGTTCATCTGTGTAAATGGCATATTGAAGGTCACGATGATGGGATCAAAATAAAGCAATTTGATTATAGGATCGTGTGTTGTCCATCGTTTAACTGAGAAAGAGGCAAGTAAATAATAAACAACATTATAGATTAAAATTGACAGTTTGAATAACTGTGTAACTATACATTTACCTTTGATATGACCAAAAGCATTAGAGATTCTATAAATATATATGGTCTTGGGGTGTGGATTTCCACCGTTTTAAAGATATAACCCGGAAATTAAGTTCAAAGGGGCCAGTTCTTTCATCATAAATGTGTTTAGCTCATGATGCTCAGGGATCTTAACTGTTTCAAAGATATTACCAAGAAAGTGAGTCCCTAGGAATGAGGTCAGATTCCAAAGTCCATTTATACATCATGTTGGTTTTGTTTTGTTTGTTTGTTTGGTTTTTTTTTTTTTTGTTTTTTGTTTTTTTTTGGTTTTTTTTTATCTTTTTTTTATGTGCATCATGTTATCTATAGTTATGAGGTGGGGATCTCAACTGTTTCAAAGGTATAAGGTGTGTGTGTGTGTGTGTGTGTGTGTGTGTGTGTGTGTGTGTGTGTGTGTGTGTGTGCGTGCGTGCGTGCGTGCGTGCGTGCGTGTGTGTGTGTGTGTGTGTGTGTGTGTGTGTTCGTATATGGCAACAAAATGGTTGTTTTTTCGGTCTAACATTAATGCTGACATTTCGCTTTTTAAAACTCAGATTCACTAAGCAGGTATGACAAAGATCTTTAAGTATAGACTTTTCACCTTAATAGCAATTCCCCAATGCTACTGCAAAATTTTGAGAGATTACCGCCTACCTGATACTTGTTAGTGTTACTGATTTTAATGTGACAACACATTTCGATTCGTGCATAGTGACAATGTTTAGAGACTTGCATTTAAAACTATGGGACTTAAGCTTTAAATGTTTGAAGGAATTGATACATAGATAAGTATAATGTACTGTGGTGTACGTGTTTTGGTTATGTTAGAAGGTAAACTCAATATAAATGTCAAAACTCAAAACTTACCAACACAATCTGCGCTATCCTCTGGAAAAAGATATCCCCCCTCATCGCCTACACTCGCTAAATGAACTGGTTATGAATGCTTGTCAACTGTTTGTTGGGCATTGCTGATGTATAAGTTTCAACCAATACTGCCAAAAAGATTTAAAATGGTATATAACAGCTTGATCTTAAATACTTCCTCTTTAAAAGTTGGATCGTTTCCCTTTTTTCTTTTCTGTTTTTGTTTTTAGTGAAAGGAAATTTTAATCATTCATCTGAAGAAATGGTGAAAACAAAGTTTCATTGTTGAAATCCAAGATGGCCGCCTATTGGACAGTTCGTTATTCTGATCAGTTCCAATAGCAAATGGGCACACCTTGGTAGGGACCAAGGGGAACATACATACGTAAACAGAGAGATCCATCCAGCACTTTTCAGGAAAGAGCGATAACAATAATTGTTTACAGATCGGGGGATGGACAGCGGATCACAGACAAAGGGCGACTTAAAAATATTAAAAAATGAAACTAATGAAATCCTAAATTCTATTATAACAAAGGCTCCCTAATGGATAATATCATACCGACATGTAATATTGCTTAGTCCCCCTATCAAACTAAATGACTATTTTCTCTTACCTTATTAAGGAAACATGCTAATTTTCTCATGTTTTACCCAATTTAGATAGTACTTATAACTTCTGTGTTACAATATGAAACTGGCAGTGTGTGGCAAAAACATGCATCTGTGTAATAAACTTTAAAGACTATATGCTTCATTGAGACAAATTTCCAATTAATTCATTATACTCTCGGTATTTTACAAAAATTCATGTTAACAATTTTCAAAACCGTAAAAAGTGAAAATGATGTGTGTTTCGGTTTTATTGAAACATTCACTCTCTGTTGGTCATTTTAAAAATAAAGTCATTCAGAATACTGACACAAAAATAGATATTTTGCGAGTGCAAGCCATGAACTAAGAGTTTACTAAAACTTCATCAAAATAATTGTGTTAACTTCAGCATTTTGAGCACATTGAAGAGGGCAATTTTGTCATGTGAAAAATATGAATATTAATTATAGTCATGGCTTACTTTAAGCAGTATTCACGCCTTTTTGAACCAACATTTCAATGAAATGATATTTTTGATATTTTGCCAATTTTCTGCTTTAATTGACAGGATAACATACCGGTAGAGAGGATTCAAGCTCCATATATGGAAAGCATTAAAATTTCATCATTAATGGCATAATTATCAAAGTCTAATAAATAGTAAATTGTGTATTTCGATGGTTGAGTTGTTTTATGTTTCCTTATGACATATTATATACTTGTTTAGAAATTAAGCTCAATGTGGAGTTAATGGCAAAGCTCCAACAAGGTGTGGAGTGTAACACAAAACCGTTTGATTTTTTTTCTATCTATTGACATTTCATTTAGATCTTCTTGACCATCAGACACATTATTTCAGACTATGATTTAGATGCGTAAAAACTGCTTTTGGATTTTAACTAAAAGTTATTGTAATTATTTTATGGGTCCAAATGAACACGGGATTATACCAGTTATTTTTAAGTATATCTATATCTGCTTTCTGTAGTGTTCTGATAGACAGGCTTGACATTTACGTAATTTTTTTATGATTAAAACTGTAACAGCATGTGAAAAGTGTGAAAAGTGAAAAAAATAATTATTATAGTATTATAAACCATATAGTACATTTTGTCGTCAAAAAATAAGAAACTTACGGACTAGCTCACCAGTACTATAGGTAGCAGGAAACAGTTAATTTGCATTTTTCCTCAAATTATCTGTCATGTTTGAGATATACAGGTATAGCAGTTTGGTTATGAAAAATACATCCTTACCTGTACATATTTACATTAATAGTAGAGAGACAAAATCTGTGTAAATAAAAAAATTCCTCTGATTTCTTACATGTGATTGTCATGGTTAACAACTTTAAAATGCTAAAAAACGCAAAAATACTGCTAGTTCCAACCTAACACTACAACTTTATAGAAGAAATTGATTTCTGAACACCAGTCGTAAAATCAACAACACTGTCATGGTAACAAACTACTTACATTTCAGTTAATTCCAACTCGGAAATTTCACTTCCTGTAAAGCTAGTTTTTGGTGTGTAGACAGAGTCGAGCCTATATCAAATAGTAATATCCACAGGAAAGCTAAGATATCATTCTGACAAAAATATCACCCATAACCATTTACAAGATCGGGCATAAATGGGCAGAAACGGGGTAAAATAACGTCTTTTTATGATGGTATTAATGGAAAAGGAATTGATTAAAATAATTAAAACGGTGCTGTTTTTCCCCGATTCCGCCCGATTCTGCCCGATCCTATAAATCGCCTAACCGAAACTGCAGAATGTAACACCTGAATGGGTCGTAAGTCAAGACATTTTTATTCTTGGATATAAGCTTCGCTAAGGACCCGAAGTAGAAAGGTAAGAATGCAATGGAAGAGAGAAAGCTGGCGATAGTTTAATACAGGAATCTTGAGATGACATGGAGGTTCCAAAGGTTGTCATAGATAGGCCGAATGTATGATACCCGGAAATGACAGTCCCAAACATTGTCAGGGCAAACGATGAGAATATAGGAATTCTCCAAATTACTGTTTCTCGATTCGATTTTCTTAGACATTTTTATTTATTATGCACTGAATCTAATTTTTGATTATAAATACTTACCTGTTGGTATAAGACGTGATTATTGTTTTGATAGCAATCCACATTTTGAAACGACCCCGTATATCTGTCTGTACATTACCTCACGTTTGTATGAATAAAGTGCAATACATTTACATGATAAAGGGGCATATGCTATAAGTAGGTCAAACTGTAGTATTAGCCACGGTGTGATCGTACGAAGCAGTTTTTAAGTGTTCAGAGTATCAAGTCAACACTGACATCAACAAGAAACATAAGTATAGATCTACTCTTTCATTCCAAGGCTCTCTTTTAAAGATAAATATTACCTATGTATATCTAAATGTTTAAAAGATTGTATAAATGGCACGGTCGTTTATCAAGAAAATGCACTATAGGTTCAGAACGAGTCGTGTTTCGTTACTGCATACTACAGTATAATTCATATACCTTTATTGATGTCCATTTGAAAATCATCCTGAATTGAAAAATAATGAAAATGGTTAATATTTTGGGGTTAGTACAACCACAATCCCAACCCCAGCATCACTCATGAAGCAGCCGTATAATGCAGTTTAATTCACTGCATTTTAG